TGACCCTCCATGTGATTCTGTGGTATGATGATATGAACAATTTTCTCTGGAAACTGATGTACGTTTGCATGAAGCCCGATCCAGGGATATCCTTTCCTTGTGATGTTTATCAATCATTGTAACTAACATCTAATATTAAAAAAACAACAAGAAACGCTCTAAAGCTGAAAACTGCTTCCAGTTCACATCCGAAATGCAAGCAGTTTTTCATAAAACTGTTAACTATTGAGTTACGCGACTTCACTGTTCTCCTTGGATTCCAAATCCCAGTGTACAAATCACTTGTTTTACTATTTTTAATGACATGTAGTATCAATGACTCTTTCTTATCCATTAGAAAGTATAGATGTTTTAGGTTTGCCAAGATCTTTCGTTCATAATGTCACCATCAGAGAATGCTGCTATTGTTTCTTTATCTCTGTACTTTGTCTGATGAAGTAACACAGTCCACATTGTAACGCATTTGCTAATAAAGAATTTAGCTCATATTACTTTCCATCTGAGATACTACAGTGGCTTCTAATATAGCAACCTCTCTGTTTTGAGGTGCCTTTGTGCTCTTTTGTTCAAATCCAAAATATACCATTGGTTTCTTGATTCTAAATGATACTGTGATACAAGCAATATTATTCTCCTCTGAAGTCATTTCTGGTATTTTCATTGATTCTTTGGACTGAGGTTTTGTTAATCTTTTGAGAATAACTCTCTTCACCTTCAGCAGTTTGGAGAAAATGCATTGTACTATTTATCTAGGCAGGCTGAGAATGCATTAAAGATACTGTGGTTGTCTTCCTAGTATTTCAGTACTTAGTTTGGGGTTTTTATTCAAGCAAATTTTGCATGATACACAAGGAAAATTACCTATTCTATAAAAGTTAATGAAATACTATGAGAATATGTGCCATTCAGAAAGACTTGCAAAATGAAAAGTTGTCTTTCTTTCCTTTTCTTCTATGTATTTATTTTTATTAACTTCCTGGGATGCTGAATACATTTAAGAAGCTAAAGCAAGGAGAATATACAACCTCTTTTCTAACTTTACCTTCTTTCTTCTGTAGAAAGAGTGTCTTCCCATTCGAATAACTGCACAGCTATCATGAAGGGTCTGTTGGTTTGGCTGTGAATTTCAGTGTAAAAGACTTTCTGCTTGTATTCAGGGAGTGTTATCTGATGCAGGAAACATGCTTGATATAAATCATAGATAACAAGAAATTCAAGATTATTACTGTCTGTTGCAGATGAGTCTTCAAAGCTCTGTCTGAACAGTGGTGCAATAACATCCTTTGATGGGAATCCCTGCTAAAATTCCTCCCCTGTGTGGCAATTCTTTAGTTCTGCAGTAAAACAACGAGAATGTATTCAGACTTGGTGTGCTAAAAGGGATGCATCTTTAGATCACAGATTTTCTGAGCACTTTTCATTGACTGAGTGAATTTTTAATGCTAAATGATCGAGACAGTGGACTCAGAAAGCAAATACGTATGTTACCAAAGATATTTCAACTTAAAAGTATTGGGGCTTCATATAGAGTCCATTGGAACTCTTTCTTAGTGTTAGAATATTTTGCCTATTGAAAGAAGTACCAGTGAGCTGCATACCATGTTACTGTTAGGATTATGCCAGGAGGCAGGCTTGAGGCTTCTGGAAAACATTTGATTGCCATGCTGACAGGTCTGTTTGAGTTGTATCTCTCCTGAGTCAGGAGTGAGAGGGTACAGAAAATGGCAGGAAGCCAGAATGGGCACCCCTGAATTTTAGTTTCATCCTTTTCCATCTATGGTGCGACAAAATCTCAGTGAGTTCCCTTTTTTTTTCTGTAGGTGTTCTGGGGGGCACATTTGTAGGCCTCTACTAAACAGACTTGCATCTCCCTAGTCTAAAGTCAAGCACACAGAAATTAATTGTTTCTTCCTTCCTGCACATTTCTTCCTTCATGCAAAGCTTCCCTGTTGGCAGGGCACTAAAGGGTGCTTGCAGTGCTTTTCTCAAACTTAGTATTTTTGCTGAACTTAGAATTTATATTCCCCAGATTGGTGAATTCTTAGCTAAAGCACTGTTCTCTAAATCATCAGAGTTTTGTAACCAAATTTCAGAGAAAGTTTTTGAGAAGGCATTGTGTAGCTCCTTTACGATCACTGAATTAACAACTAAAAATATTTCTTCAAATCTATTATAATACATACACATGTAAAGTGCATATATGTATATGTATATATATATATAACCCTAGATTTCTCTTACAGACATTTTCCAAGCAAAAATCTCTATGTACATAGCTGTTGTTATTTTTGCTAAGCCACAGAATTGAGTATTACATTTTCAGTTAACATGCTAGAAAAATATTTACTTGGAGATGTGATTCACTCTGACTAATGGGATCAAACTAATTGAGGTCAAAGCCAAATAAAGAAGTTTAACTTTTCATTTTTCTTTTCTTTTTTTTTTTAGAATGGTAGAAATTAAATGTGTGAAATTGAGATAGGTTAGAAGTGATAGCCAACGGCTTGCAAAGGGATGCAGTGGATCACATCTAGCTTACTGTTTGAGTACCCTCTCATAGCTAAGTTAATGAGATGATCATTAGTGTCAGTAGGAAATGGGGTCTGGAATCCTTGGGGTTATGTCAATAGGTATGTGGGCAGTTCTTCCATGGTTTTGGTTTTAAAATGTTGGAGTTCCTCCTCAGTAGCCAACCAAACATAAGACTGTACAAAGAAAAGAGTGCCAATGTATTTCTCCATAAGTAAGTCAGCCTCTGGCCTCTTAGCTATTACTGATTATGGAAAAACAGAGCATTTCATTTCCCCATCAATCTGCATGTTCCCATGACCAGAGCTGCAGACCTGTATGCTCTGAGGGCCTGGGGCAGGCTGAGGAGTGGGCCAGCCAGTATCATAGCTCTTAGAGGAGATTTATTTTATATTGGGTAGCCTCTGGGGGACTGAATTCAAAGACCAGTTTGAAAATTGGCTTCCCTAATAGCTGTCTGATAAGCCATCAAAAAACAGGTTAAAGGAGAAGAAGGGGATGAGAGTTTTCCACAGCGCCCATTTCCAGCTCCCACAAAAAAAAAAAACAACAACCTTCCTTGATGTCAGGCTCTTTGTAGCACCTCAATTTCAAGCAACTTGCCCATCCCAATGTATTTCATTACTGCATTCTAAATTATTCCTAGCAACAAGCTTTTAGCCAGGAGGTTATATGTACAGTTGTTCTTTAATGGCTTAAGAAAGTCATACTTTCCCCCTGTGAATATGAAGGGAGACTGTTTTGAAATGGATGCAACTCAGATGTGTGTGCACAGACTGTGGTGACATCTGCTGGAGTACTGGAAAATGGCAGATTCAAAATGCATGTTGATTGGGAAGTGATTGAAGCACAAATATGTCAAAAATTGTCTGTATTGCAGCACTCTCTCAAGGCTGAGAAGTTTACACTTTACCCACAAAGGAAACTAATTGCCTGTATGGTGGGATTTCTCTGGTAATATTTCCAAGAGAACCCTTAAGACCTGTATATATACACACAAATATAAGCCTCTTAATTAGAAAACTGTATTTTGGTTACTAAAAAAAAGGACCCGAGGAGTATAAATCTCTGGAAATTCGTTGTCATCAGGGATGAGTCAAGAGGAGCTGGCACCCTGAGGCAGAACAGCTGACCACATAACAGATGTACCCTGCTTCCTGTGGTACCATCTGGAAACTTTACATACAGCTGAACATAAAAATTTGCCTTTCATTTGGTGTACCAGTTCCTGTGGTTGCTGTTCAAGGAGCAGCAGAGGAACTCCAGCATTGCCACACTCCATTGTCTAATGTGTACTAACAGATCGTTCATTCTTGTTAAAATTAAGCAAAAAATGCCACTTAAAAAATGACTTGAACCCAACAGTATGTGCAGTACTAAGCTGAGTTAAAATAGTCAGATTAGCAGACTTCAGTGAATTCTGTTACAAAACTTTCTGGGATTAAGGAAACTTTTTGTATTATTGGTAGGATAAGGCATGGCTATGGAGGCAAGGATACACATCTGTATACAGCTAAATTATATTTCACATCCTATTTTCCTCCTGTACTTCCCTACATATCTGTATCCTCTTCTACCTCCTTGAAGGGTAAGGTGTTTGAATGTCTGGCACTGTCTCTGAGATTTGAGTTTGAAAATGCCCACACGGCAGTGGGACTGGAAGAGGCATACATTCTTTAAACAGCTGTTCTGCTGTGTGTGTATAGACAAAGGTCCATGCATTTAGGCAATGAATGTAATGTTTACAAATGCGGTGCCCTTCATGCCCCCATTCCATGCCACTTACACTGAGCTCTGAGCCTGTCAATGTGCTGTCCTGTATAGCCCCTTTTCCTGCATCTGCCATGGAAACCCTGTTGGGCACCAAAGGAAATTGCCAGTGTAGATCACACTGAAGTTTGTTCCACAGCTAAGGCAATTTTGTTAATTAAAAAACAGTGCACTGAGCAAGTGGTTAGAATATTTTTTATCCTTAAGAATGAATGAATGAAGTACAAAGAAGTGTGAAGTAAAATAGTCTTCCTTATACTTTCCCCTGTATAATCTCTATTTTTAGGCAAGAACAAACCTGAAAAAAGCTGAAAAAAGCTTCCTGTCCTGGCACTTCTGTGTTGTTTGTTGTATAACAAAGAGTTTGAGCAAAAGTATGACAACTTTAAAAATGCTTAAAAGAAATCTGTGATGCATTCGCTTAATTGTTAATACAGTTGGTTTCTAGAGCTTTTATGAATATAAAGTAAAATTATTGAATTTAATTCCTCTGCTTCTTAGAGAAATAGATTTCTCCTGAGCTATCCTAAGTGTGTTAGCTGTAAACAATGTAACTTGTTCTAATATGGTATTTCTTGACAGATGCAGAAGCAGAAGTGAAAATAGGACGTGTAGAACCAGATACTTCGTAAACTGATTATCCCAGGATATTAGGTTCCAGAAAGTTTACAGTAAATATCTTTTTCTTTTCCCTTTCTCAGGGCCGTGCCTCATTAACAGAAGAGAAAAGTCGTTTTGCACATGAACATGCTGAAATGAGAAATCTAGAAGATATTGTTAAAGATATAAAACCATCTGTGCTAATAGGTAATTTCTTTTACTTTAAAGCAATGACCTTATTCTTTGTTTGAAGAAAAAAACAAACAGAGATGTGGCTTTGTCTGAAGACAAGATCAAGTTCCTCTGAACAGAGTTTGCCTTTGTGGTTTTTTAAAAAACACCAGGAACATAATGGGCTCTATTAAGCAACCGAACAAATATCAGCTATCCAAGCATGTAACACTGCTCTCACTCCAAACCATCAGTTTTACGGGAAAAATAATCCAACTTGTTTTAAGCATCTAATAGAGAAGCTTATCACTTTCCTAAATTACTTCTGATCTAATGAGGACAATGTAATACAAATGACCTCAAACTTGGACTGAGAAAACAGAGTTAAACAAATGCAAAGCTGTGTAATTATGAGCCACTTGTATCTGAATATTCTTTTCCTTCACATTTAGGTCCTTAGCCACCAGTCCTTTGTGAAGACCAAAACACAGGTTTTACAAAGGCTTTTGGTTTTGTAAAAGTTGCAGGGTTTTGATCTCAGTGAAGAATTGTTCAACTATCCGCAGTTTGGCTGTTGTATTTCAGGAAAGAACAGCAAATACTCTTGAATTATTACTTAATATGTAAAACTTGAACAATTATCTGCCTAGTAAAATCATTTAGGAGATGCTAGAAAATCTGAAATGCCATGGTGATAATTATGCTATGTTTTGGCTATGCCTTGAACACACAGCTCTTATGCAGTAAAATCTGCTTTTTGACAATGTTCATAAATGAGGCAAAAAATTTGGCGTGGGTTTGCGTGCTCTCCTTGTGCAGGCACCAAACTGATCTTTAGAATGGGCAGTGTTGGTATGCACCTTTAGGCATGAGTGATGAGAAGTTACAGTGCTGACCCAGGAGAGACCCAAGCTGCAGACTTTCATCTCCTGGCCTGCATTTGGATCCTTTCCTACTCCCCCACCTGAGCACTCTTTCCTGCTGTGGAAACTCAGAATGCTGTGTGGAAAGCAGAGCCAGGTGTCAGGACTCTGAGCAAGGAAGAGGCCACCTTCTCTATAGCCTGTGTGAGAGGTTTTCCTGAGAATATGGACAAATAAAGTTCACTCAAAGGACTGTTTATCTGTTTCCTGTGGAAAGCATGGCAATCAGAAGCCTGACTCTCGGATTCCCAGCTCTTACAGGTTAGGCAGAAATACACATTTACATTGACATCCCAAAAACATGATTTCCTTCTCCCCTCCTCATTTTTAGTTAGTGAAGCATCTGAGATACTATACAGAAGCTACACGTCTACACTGCAGCAGAATCCAACTTAAATTAGATGCTTTCATGCCACAAGACTGGCACTTAGTCCTTCTGGAAAGCATTTATAAGTGTGGACAGGATTGGGGAAAGAAAAACCATTACTTTTAATCTCTGGTAGGATGGAAAGTGTTGTATTTTAAAAGATTGTTGCTGTCAGGGAAGCCTTAGACTTTTAACTGAAATTATCTGACAGTTGAGGCTGGAGATGACAGCATGACCAGCTGTAGGAAACAGAGGCTGTCATTTATCCTCTTCTTGTCGCACAAAAAATTGAACACTTATAAACTCTGAGAAGTCATGAGACTTAACAGACAGAGGTACACCTATTTACTCAGTAAAGTGAAAAGTTCACCAAAACTCTCGGGGATGTATAGACCCTCTCTTACGTTGGAGATAACACTTAAGTTTCACAATTGCAAAATCTTGTATACAAAGCCTTTTATTTTAACCACATGTGTTAAGAAAAGGGTAGAGTTACATTTTAGAAATGAAGGTATGCAGTAAAAGAAATACTGTTCTTCTAAGTGTGGCATGTGTTACTTACCTGGCACTAATTACATTTTCTGCTTGTTGTGTGTTTTTCTTCCTTAGGAGTTGCTGCAATTGGTGGTGCTTTCACTAAACAAATTCTTCAGGATATGGCTGCTTTCAACAAAAATCCTATTATTTTTGCTCTCAGCAATCCTACCAGCAAAGCAGAGTGTACTGCTGAGCAGTGCTACAAATATACAGAGGTAACCAGAGAGTAATATGTAGTATTATGTAGTTTAAAGTAAACCTCAAATTTAGAATGGGGAAAAGGTAGAGGGTGAAATAACTGATAATGTTGCTACCTGTAGCTAAGATTTAATTGAATTAAGTGACAGATTTTATCGAGACAATTTCACTGAAGTCAATACAAGCTTACACTCTCATTTAAAAAAAAAAAAGCATAATATTTGTTATAACTGAAGGATCAGTAACTGTCAGTTATTGAAGTCTTATGCCTGTTTTTGTACAGTACCATTTGTTTACTGCTGTGTTAATAGCAGTGTGCACTTCATTTGAGACATTACAAATACACTTTACAGTAAGAAAGTATGTCAGTAAAGGAAGAAAATCATTCAAATATTTCTTTATTAATAATTACTCCACGTGGAGTAATTGACTCCTCTTACAAGGATTTCTATGGAAATATAGGTGAAAATAATTTATTCTTGTCTTATGGAAGTGCTAATGCACACATTATCCCATAATTCAGTCTGGAATTTGCCATGTATGAGTAGTTGACTGTATGTATTTTATGGTGGCTCCTGTTTGGATTTCTTTCTGAATGCAGGGCAGTTTGAATGACAGCTTCGGTGTTTAAAAGACAAATTTAGCATGGCCATTGCCCACTGAAACGTACACAATTACAGTGCAGTGCAAGAATCAGGGAAGCAGACTGCATGAAGGGCTGGCTATAATGGGTAACAGCATCTGGCAGGCAGAGAAAGGGATACACTGAAGCATTTGATCTCTCACCAAAACATATAATAAACAGGCCAGGAAAATACTGCATGACACCAAACTAAACAGAATTATCTTCTGAAGAGCAAATACAGTATATTTTAAAATGCACACTTTCAATTCTCTAAAATAGGCATGGATATTTCTGATACAAAGTGCCTCTGAAGTTTTAACATGACATTTATCACCTCAGTAATGCTAGCATAAATGAAGGCCAGCTTCTCTTCCCCACCTCAATTTACTGCTTAAATACTAGGGTGCTCTTTCCTCAGTTAGGCAGGAGCTCAGAACCTTTGGTGCAGAGCCTCTGAGATATCACTTCTGTGATATCTGTGCTCTGAAACTGAAACTGATTGATACCAAGCCTGGTACTCCAGCTGTCTGTCAGTGCTAAGCTATTAGTAACATCAGCCTTGCTTCTCCCTCTGGCCACCCCATGTGCTTCTGCCTCTATCTGATGGCAGCACCAGAGCAGGCCCAATGTAGCCTCCCTCCTGGTCAGCAAGGAGGGTGCTCAGAGCATGCAGCACTCAGGTTCAGTCCCATGTGCTCTGCCATGTAAAATGAGTTGGCTGCTCTTTTCATCCTCAGGACAAGTGATAATGCATAGTTTGTATCATCCACACAGCTAAGCTCACTGATACCCCCAAACAGGTTAGGTCTTCCGTGTTGCCTGCTGGTTCCAACCTGTGTTTGGTGCCTGGGATCTGTCTGGGACAGCAGCACCATCTGGATCACTTGGCACTACCCAAAAGTCTGCTAGAAAACAGGTGTAGGTCTATTAGAATTGGGTGTTCACACACTAGCTCCTGAGCTGGTGTCCAAGCCCTGCTAAGTGTGTTACAGTAGGTGAATCCACACAGTTCTAACAGAGAAAATCCCATCACCAAACTGTGCTATAGGTGCACTGTGGAATGGCATTCCTGGGACAGAACTGGCAACTCTGTCCTCCATTGAGCTGTGGGGTCACTGGAGAGGCCTAGAGGTGAGATTAGCAGCTCTGCCTTTCACAGCTCCTTAGAAATTGCCCTGTCTTTCACAGAAATGTGCAACACTTGCTGGCATTGGTGCCATTTTTGTGGTAACGTTGCTGTTGTTTTGGGAAAAAAAGTCCAGTAGCATCAACCATTGTTACTGTGACAGTATTGTACCTTCCTCTCTTACAGCTGTAGGTATCTACTTTCTTCCCATGCACCCTTCCTCTGGTGTGGACTCACAGAATGAATAATTGGTGCCAGCCTTCACCTCTTCCTCCTCTAAACTGTACAGATAGCTATCATTCCTGAGCATGGCAGTATGTACTCTGTGGCATCAGATAGAAACAGACAATCACAAGTAATTTCTATGCTGTTGAAAATTTCTCAGTCAAACTAACACTCTCCCAGAAGAAAGATTAACTTGAATAAACCAAGCTTCCACAGGGGTCAATATTTAAAAGGGTATATGAAATATATGAACAATGTACTTTCAAATAACATTTCTTTGGTTTTCTCTTTACAATGTAGGGACGTGGCATTTTTGCCAGTGGAAGTCCTTTTGATCCTGTCACTCTTCCAAACGGAAAAACTCTATATCCTGGGCAGGGTAACAATTCCTACGTGTTCCCTGGAGTTGCTCTTGGTGTTATTTCATGTGGAATGAAACATATTGGTGAGGATGTGTTCCTCACAACTGCTGAGGTACTGTATTAAAAATTATACTAATTAAAAATATATACTAAACTGGTAATAATAAAAAATTATACAGAAATAACTAAATATTATCTTTAAAACTGAGAAAAGACTTTTTTTTTTTTTTTTTTTTTTTTTGCTAGGGTCTTTATTTACAAGGATAGGATATTTATTTTAACAAGGTAATACTTGGTCCAAAGGACATCTGATGTAAACTTCATGTTCTGTTAGAGAAGAAATGAGAGAAACCCTTTGGCATTGTACTGTCATGGGTGCCCATGTACAGTTCACATACATGTGCATACAAGTTTAATTTTAGACTTGTATTCTGATGTTGGTAGCTTTGGGTGACTTTTGTGGGTGTTCTGCTTGCAAAAACTATTTGAATTTCTTTTTTTTTTTTTTTTTTTCTCCCTTTTTGTTAATGTTGAGTAGAGTTGTTGGTATCATTTCTGGACCTCTCCTGTCAACAGCTGGTGAACGTGCTCCATTGCTTTCTGGTTATTTGCACCTCAGCTTGAGGTGATGTTATTCTTCCCACTTTGATTCCTATCCATTTCTGCACTGGTTCTTCTCTTTCCTCAAGCAATATATTATCATCTCTGTTCATCATTATTATCCAGTTTTTTTGTCTGTTCTCCTTTATTTCCATTTGGTAGGTGAGAGACAGAGCAAACACATTTCATTTTGGGAAGTCATTGATCTCTTCTAAAAATTGTTCAAAATCTGACATCTACAGTCTTACAGTATGACACTGCAAATGCACAGGATTGTCTCTTCAGCACACATCAGAGAAGAATCTGGCTAGAGGCCCTTCATCTAAACAAACAAAATAACCAAGAGCTGTTGAAATCAAATGCTTTTACACAGGTGTTTTTTTATGTATTTTTTTTAAATTTTTATTTTTAACAAAAACTCCCCCAAGGCCATAAGTCAATCTTTCTGTAGCTGATTTTTTGCTTAAGAAGATTGTAAATTTCTATGCTTTTCTGCATCCAACATCTTTGCTCATCTTCTATAGGCAGATAGCATCCTTACCACTCTGCTCTGACCTTATCCTTGTCTCTGCATTCTCCTGCCTTCTTGCACTGTCCTGAAGTTCCTGCCTCCACTGCACCTGCACCAATGTAATGAGCCTCTCAACATTCAGCTCTGTCCATGCACATTCATTCAAAGCCTAATGCTTTTTTCTTTCCTTTGTTAATAGTACAGAAAAAAGCATGGCTAGCCCCAGTTTACCAAGGTAACTGTCATTAATCTTCATTCTGTGCAGTGGTGATTTTTACCCAGTGCAGTTTGTATCCATTTGCCATCCAAACAAGTTCATGAAATTGCAGTGTCCTGATCCTTAAAGAAGCTGTATGAGAAGCTGGAGAACACATCAGTAGTGGCTTACACAGAATAAGCCCATAAGCAATGAAGTTAGAAATTACAGAATAATCAAAAAAGAAAAAGTTGCACCAGATAGCAAAAAAAAAAAAATGCCTGATGCAACTCTAAAGGATATTGCATTCCAGCATCCTTGCTCCTTGTGTCCTCTTCATGGATTAAAGGGAAGAAAGTGGCCCTTTACCATCACCCTGAGGCAATTTGTAGGCAACATATTTCTTTGACTGATGGTATGTGGTATGAAGCTTTCTTCAAGGGCAGACACTTGCATGCTGCCATTGCTGGATTTCTGATATTTTGTTTGAAGGTGCATACTACAGCATCTTTTAAAAGGTTTGCCAGCAGCTTGCCCTCTATGAAAAAGACATTCACAATTTCCATCTTTAAAATTAGTAGAAGGCCCAGACTGTCTCCACTAGCTTTAACCATCCTAGAAGTAATGATCCATCTCATAAGTCTTTGGGTAATTATATCCTCCCTTTAAATCCTCCCCTGTAATTTCAGTTGGACACGGTGATCTTCACTTGCTGGTCTAAACTGCTGTGTTAAACAGTTGTCTTATTTCATTCTAGATGTTGCTTTTGGTTTGGGTGAAATGACTCCTGTGTATAGAATGTTGACAAATGAAAGGTGACACGTGTAGATCAAACTGTGTTTTAAGTTGCAGTCTGCTAAGTCACCAAAAACTCATTTTGAACCAAGAAACTTAACTGGAAATAAAATGGTATCAGAAATATTGAGGAAGTTCTGAAATGCTATCTTGAAATAGATGTTCTCTCCCAACTCTTACTCTCTGCTAAAGATTTCCCTACACAAAGTACCCTCCCCCCTAATAAAATCCCTAGTAATGCTTGACATGTGAAACTATTTTTTCCTGCATAGAGAATCTATATTGGCTCCAGGTCCAATGAGTAGCTATTTGCAACACACCTGGAACTGAAAGAATTCACATTTGGTCTTCCTCACTATGTGAGAGGCACTTTATTACTGGGGATTCAGTGAGCTCAAGGCAGATTACTGAGAAAGGACAGACCTGGCAGATCAAAGGATCTTTGCCCAAAGAGTTATCAGAGATGTTAAGGACAGGAGGGCTGCTTAGGCCCTTAGCTGAAATTACAGTACAAAGCAAAGGTAAAATTTTTAACTGATTTTTTTTTTTCCTCTAGATGTTTTCCAGTGGAAAGAAAGAAATCAAAATAGTCCCCTGTGTTTGTTAGAACATTTGTTAGTACTCTACATTTGAAATGGAAGGGCCCAAGATGGTGCAAAAGTTATGGAGCCAAAAAGATGCTTTTTAAGTAAAGGAGCCTTCTTGGTTTGTAGTGGTAACTTACTTGAAAAAGTATAAAATCCAAGCAGCCCAGGCTGCATGCCTGCTGCTGCTTCTTTGTGCTTTGCTGCCCCTCCGATTAAATCTGATAAGTCACAAATAGTTTATTGTAACTACAACAAATTCTACTTTCAGTGTTCTTTTCTTCATGCCAAGTAAAACAGAATGTAACTTGGATTTAGGTTTGATAAAGTTAAGGTGCTGTAAGGCTGTAATATCTCTTAACTGTAGGCAATTTCTCTGGATGACAAGGGATGTTACCTATTTTATGTCTTACCTAACACAACAGAAGGAAAAGAAAATTATGAACCAACTGAATATTCCTGACATGTTACTTATAAGTTACTCCTTCCAACATAGAATTTATGTCCTATAAAAGTCAGGGCGCTCCTATTTGTTTTATTCCATTTGTCCAATCTTGGCTCCCTTTCACTTCTTCTGTTAAAAACTGTAATTAACTAAACTTTGAACAATGAAAAGCTGTCCTACTGGTTTGGACTTAAGACCCAAAGAACCCTGTACTCTTCTGTAAAAGGAATGAGAGCAGAAGCTGAGGAAGAGAGGATAAATAAGGGGAAAGGATTGAGTGATCCTTCTGCTGAAAATGTCTTCTCAGCAATCTGTACAGCCTTTTGAGTTGGAAGTTTTATCCCTGCACAGCTTTCTCTCACAAATGAGACCGACGACTTTTTAAACATTTGAATATTCCAACATCTTTTAGCAATTAGTATCACAATTTAATTATGAGTTCCATGGAAAAAGAAACTCCTTTCATGATTTCCTGCTGCCTGATGATTAGGGTTTCCTATAGCATGATGAGAAATAATAACCTTCAGTTGTCTTTTTTTTTTTTTTTTTTTTGTATTCTCTTGCAGTCTTCCCTTCTCTTCTTTCAGGAAATCTGTCTGATATCCTTGTACAAAACCTAACCTTCTGATTGCCCTTATTATTCTTTATACCATTCACGATTCTACCCTATTCTTGCTTGAAGTAGGTAAAGAAACATGCACAAGTGATCTTGCATCCCGGATTTATGCACTGATGATAATTACATTTTCTTCATTGCCTCACATTTTCTTAATAACTCCAATTGTTGATTCATCATTTTTTTTTCCATTGCCATTGACCTAATGGTCTCAAAGAACATCCTTTCAGAGACCACATGAAGAAAGTGTCATTCACTTCAAAAATGTTTCCATACTTTTGCTTATATAGGAAAAAGTCAGAAAGAACAGCATGCCATCTGTACAGGCTAAGCTTACCAACTCTCCTGCTTTAAGCATCACCTTCATGTTTTATGGCTTGCTTTCTATCAGCCCTGTCACAAAACAGAAATACTCTGTCCCTGACCTTTCTTTTCAGTGATGCATTTCATTGACAACTTGCTGTTGATCATTTCAGATTTCTGCAGAATCACATTGAACTGTGAACAGCAAAATTCTCTTTTTGTAAGCAACTCCTTACACACGTGGTGTATATCTTGTTTTATCAAAGGGCTGTGCACCATTTTTGGATAACCTAGCTGCTGTAATGGAAAGCAAGCAGTAGATCTTATGTTATCATAGCTCCCCCTAGTGGGTTGTTATGTCTGCTGTATTTATCAATATCAGATTAAAAGGTAAACAGATAATCTTCTTTTACCTGTTTTACTGAACTGGAGTATGTAACCTCTTGCTGCACTCGTTACAATTTCCCCTCCATATGGAAAACACTGCTGCACCTAGCAGGGTGTCAGGTAGATTACAAAAAACAACAACAGGATCCCTTTGAACCTGGAGTTACTGTCGTGTTAGTCCTTTAATTCAAACATTTTATCTGCTGCTGTCAGCAGGGTGAACTGATGATTGCCAGCTATCTTTTCTGGTGCAGTCCTCATCACATATAAGCAGTGTGCACAAGGTCCTGTTTCCCACATACACCACAAGCTGTAGGAACTACTTGTTGCTCTTTTACAAGTATGCTAATTCCTTCTCTCAGAGACACACTTCTTGCTTTCTGTTTGGGGCATGTTAGCAGAAGGATAAATTCCAGGGGCAACCTTGTACTAAACTGCAATTGAAGCTGCTTATGAAATGTAACAGATTTAAAAAACATGAACTTGTGCTGTATGAAAAGACTCCTTTTCTTGTTACTACTTTGTGCTCCCAGCTCTTCAAAGAGCAAGCGATGTCCACAACAGGGTACATTCTTTCTGTCCCCAAGTAAGACAGACATATATATTTATTTGCTTTCTTAAAATAATTTAACATTTTCATAATATTTGAAAAAGATTCTGTTTTGAGAACTGTAATAGTGAATGCTAGAGAAGACAGCTTTTAGCTTTTAAACTACTTGAAGCCAGACCATGTCTAATATACGAGTTTTGTGCTTAGTTTGCTTAGAAGTTATTTAGATTTGTTTCTGGCTATCAGCTCCCTAGAAGATACAAAGGTGGACAGCTAAAGAACTGAAACCATCAAGTCCACCAAAGAGATTCCAGAATAGAAGCCAGGTTAGTGAACTGACCCCAGCTGACTCTCAGGCTCAGCAAACCCAAGGCTGGATTATCATGAAATGCTGTTCTCTATTTCAGACCCACAAATGACAAATAAATTTTAGTTAGCAATAACAAGAATACCATTAGACCCAAAGGCAGTCTAATCTAAGATCCTTTGCTGCTTAAAAGTTATCTGTGGTAGTAATAGAGGAAGTTCATGAAAAAAATAGAGGGAGTTCGTGAAAAAGTGCGCTGTGTCTCTTCACTCTGTTGCGAATGCCTCACACTGCATGGTGATAGGTTTTTCTTGGGTCAATGAGGAAATGGTCAAATTTTCTCCAGAAAATGCTTTCCTGATCTGATTATTACTGGAGATGACTGTAAAATGCTTCCAGTCTTGATGGACGGACCAAGCAAGAATATCCAGGCTGTAGAGGAGACGCTTGGATGTGAATCAGAACTTCTGTGTCATTGTTTCCCCTCATCAGTCTGGCGGAAATAATAAATCAGAGATTCAAAATAATTTCTCTATTAATCTGCTGTGGCTGAGGTGACAGACTTGCTGCATCATTCAAGTGGAGTGGACAGACCCTCTAGCAGCAGTGGGTTTGTTGTCCCAGCAAGCCAGAATTTAGATCTTCTCTTTAGCAATCTGCTTGCAGTGACTTCAGAAAGCCTGGATAATCTTACTTTGCCTTTACTTTGCTCTGTGGTTGACTATTTCCTTCTCTGATCTCATACAGACTAGACTGGTGAGCTGGATGTATAAGAAACCTAGTTAGCTGCTAGTATTTTTATTCAAAGCATTTTACACTTAAGATTTCATCACTATTTTCTGCACAGGATGACCTAACAACCATCAGAATAACAGGTGCTTCTATAATTTTAGAAGTCTATGACCCAACTAAAATCAGTGGCTGGAATTCATATGTCTTAGTGAACAATTTGCCACGATCTCACTCAAGATCCTGTTCAGTGCCTCCTGTTTTGTTCATTGCACAGCCTGTCAATGCTTTTATGCCAAAGATTTCCTGTTACCTAAAAAAAAAATTAACTAACTAATATCAGATTTGATAATAATAAATATTTATTTCCCTTCTACTCTATCTACAGGCATATAAGTGATTCAGGGTTCAATATAATCAGAGTGAGAAAAGGGCAAAGCAGGACCATTTATTTGTGTAAGACTAGATCAGTGTCTCATAAAGCTACAATTGTGTCTGCGTTTAAAGTTAAACATGCCTGCCTTATTTCTAGGTAATAGCTCAGCAAGTTTCAGAGGAGAATTTACAGGAAGGTCGCCTGTATCCTCCTTTAGTCACAATTCAGCAGGTGTCACTGAAGATTGCTGTGAGGGTAAGTCATTTCAGTCTTTCCTGGCTTCTTTTCTTCCCATGCTGAACATTAGATTTGATCAGCTGACACATCTTCACACAAGTTGATTTACAGCAATCTTGGTCTAGTAATAAAAATAAATTTATTTAATTTCAATTCCTAAATGTAACTCCAAATTTAACCCCAATACAAGGAGGAAAGAGTCAGAACTCCAGAAAATTTGTTTACTCATGTAAACAAATACATTCCAGTTACTGAATATCCTTTTGAAACAGTAACAAGGAGCCTTCATGCATCAAACACTTCCGCTATCTTCACTTAGTCTACATTTAAATTAATAATAATAATAATAATAATAATAATAACAACAACAATAATAATATCCTTCTTGCCCCTCATGTCTTCTTAGGCAAATGATAACTCAGTCCTGTAAATGTTAAAATGTTACCAAGATTCCTCAGGCTATATTCTGCCTGTGTGGCAGAAACACAGTGATGGAAACTCCTCTGTTGTCTCTGATGAGATAACTTGAATGTATATTGAAAAAGGAAAATGTTACTGAACAAGTCTTTCTGCCTGATCTCTGCTGAAATGTTATTCCTACAAGTACTTACTCTGGCTTGTACAGCACTAAAGGCTAAGTGATGGCCTCTGTCCTTTCCAGGGAAGGAATACTCTGAAAATTTTTTGGAATACCAAATGCAGAACATAAATACAGACCTCATTCAGCTGTGATTATTGTGCATGCAGACCTGAAGAGAAACTCTTACACAAACACGCACATCTCAGTCAGCTCTGGTTGGGGCTTCAGATGAATCCTAAAAGGGAAGCCAACATACTGTAGCTCTTCCCCTTGGAGTGCTGGCTTCTCACCAAGCTAAAATATTTATGTTTTAAAGTGATGCCTAAGGAGAGCAGAAAGAAGACTTTGTCTTCCCTTCAATTAAAGTAAGAGCTTCCATCTGTTTGCCAGTTGCAGTTGAAGCAGATCTTACTGAAGATCACTGCTTTAAACTAGTGTGTAACCCTTCTTTTGTTTCACAAAGGAACATCCAGTCAAATGATGCATATATCTCAAGTTGGTGTTCTTCAGATGTGACAGTATGCTTTGATGCATTCAGTGAGCTCCAGTCCCTTCCAAACGTCACTTTTCTGCCACAGCCATACGTAGGAGGCAACTGATTCTGATCTTGTTGTTTTCTCAGTGACAAAGTACACAGACTTTCCCCAGTCATACATAGAATTTAAACCTATACACCTTGTTTAGCTTTTCCCTTTGAGAAATATTTTACCAAACTAAGGCAAATAATAAGCTTCCCTCATATGCAGGGGGCATGGAGGCTTGGAATAAATCATACTTGTCTTATGTGCTTTATAGAAGGTGGTAATCCAGGGTAGCCTGCTCAGAATGTAATCCTGTAAGAATTTAAAAGCAGCACGAATCAGACAAATAAATGCATGCATCATCATATTCTTAACCTTTTTTGCATTATGTTAGCCCAGATCCAGTGTAACTTGACGTGACTGTCAGCATCAAAGATGTCATCTTGATTTTGACCTAATTCCTACTTTAAAATTCTGTTAAATGTATTCAAATAAAGCACTAATTGGGATTTTAATGCAACTTTCTAGATTGCAGAAGAAGCCTACAGGAATAACAGTGCCACCACCTACCCTCAGCCCAAGGACCTTGAAGCCTTCATCCGTTCGCAGATGTACAGCACTGATTATAACAGCTTTGTGGCTGACTCATACACCTGGCCTGAAGAAGCCATGAAAGTGAAACTGTAAATACTTCACGAAGAAATAAGCAAATCAGCAGCAGTGGAAAAGCACTAAAATATTCAGAATGTTTCTGCCTAGAGAGCCGAAGAGTAGATAATTTTGTAAGATTCAGAACAAGTTTTCTAAATCGTAATATTTGATTAGAAACTCAGATTAAGAAGTCATAATGAATTATAAATGAAAAAATAAAAATTAATCTGAGAACTGTATTTGTGTTGCTTGTTTTCTGATTGTTATTGCACTTGATGTGTCCAACACGATGGCTGTACACATTTTTTTTATATCAAAATGAGTGGTTGTACCTTGAATTCAAAGATTTGTCATACATGTCAATGAGAACTTCAGCAGAAGAATGGTACAGTGGAAAATTAAGAAATACATACAATGACTGTTTAATCCATTACAAGTCAGGATGTAATCTGTGTAAATTGTCAAGCTGTTATTGAAAAAGAACAGTAAGTTTAGAAATATTTTCCTCCACATAAAAGCCTTACTGGTCACTCCTGTGTGCAGCAATGAGAATTTTCTAATGAGAATTGAACCTGCAGAACCTTTGTTGACAAATAATTGTTTTGCAGCATTAAAATATTCTAACAAAGCCACAGTCCTGTGAATTATCATTTCCCCCAACAAGATAACTGTGCTGCAATTGTTCAGCATAAAGGCACTCAATGTCCTTCACAAAGAGAGAATATCAGAGTATTATAAATAGGCAGCCAAAGAATCCTCATTTTTAATATTGTAGTCATCAGGGGAGTGTACTGAAACACAGCTTTTAAATAGCTGCTAACCAAATAGCTTGATTTTTAGATTTGGTCATCCATACCTCAACAGTAAGGGTGGTTTTATTGCTGTGTACCAATTTTCCTATTATGGTGCTTAGAGAGAAAGCAGAAGGCAGCGCTGTGCTGGTTCCTTAAGGCACAGCTATTTCAGACTTGTCAGACACAGCCTTCACCTACTGATAACATTTGAATATGACAATCCTTTTATATCAATATAGACACACACACAACATATATATTTCCTTATTTAGTATCTTAAACACCTTTCAATATGCTAGACCTAGCAATACAAATACAAAAAAGCACGAGTTGAGCAACTGTTACCATTCAATATAACCATTAATGTAAACGGACCCTAATGAGATGAGAAGAAGAAGCTATTGGAAATGTGGGCAGTAACACTATCACTGTAAAGACATACCACCCAAAGCTTCCAAATGATAGGGTGGAAGCTTTGGGTAGTATGTCTTTACAGTGATAGGGTGATGTAGGCTTACTTCCCTCCTCCCACCCCACCATTCCTCTGTTTTAAATGCAAAACTTGGTGCTGTGGTTGGGCACAAGAGTCTTTGCTTTTCTTGGATCAGCTGAATTAAGTGAGAGCAGATGTTTCACACAGCAATAAAAGATAGTGAATGCAGCAAATCTTGACTCCCTTTGGTGGGGTGTACTTTTATATTGGAAATTGTATTAATCTCTGACTGCAGCCACCTTGGTGACCCACAACTAAATGAAGAAGTTAACTAAAGCTCTGTGCCTCAGCTTGGTAACACAGCACAGTATGGATGATTGCAGACCAGTGTAATTCAGGATACTACCAAGTGGGATTTTTATCACCTTGCAAGCACTTCTGTGAGATGTGGCTCAGTGATAAATGCTGCTTTTAAGGTCTCTGAAAATAAGAAGCACCTCTTTCAAAAAATACACTGCAATTCAGAACAGAGCCAGGAACATCTACTTGAACTGTCCTTCTGTGTTAAACACTGGGTTTCCCTTTTCACAATAGCCATAGCTTAAGGACAAATATTAATGTCAGCTTCATCTCTTGCTGTTCAAAGTTAGCATTCTTTTACATGTTTTTTCTTATTTGTCTGCAAGTTTGCCTTCAACACCAAATAAAATCTGAAAAATATGTCCACTTTGATGCTGCTTCAGGAATTCAAGGAACTGGCCCAGGTCCATGTGATAGTCGTTCCTCAGGCCATAATCACCATGGGCCTGAAACTGCAAGTCTTCAAAAGTCTGAAAGAGGCGCAGATTATCAATACTTCCCTCTGCTTCTACAGTCTCCACATGTTTGCATGAAATATGCTTCCAGTTGGGATATCTGATAACACGCCAGAACTCCTCACAGTTTTCTCTGATTCCCTCCACACAGATCACCCCAGGTTTTCCTGTCAAGCAGAAGCCAGTCAGGTTTAATTTCTTTGCACACTCAAAGATCTTCTTCCTCAATTCCTGCCTGTATATATGATGGCTGTAGATCCACATACGTTGAATTGTTTCTTTAACTACTGTTTCCTTTGAAACACTTTCAGCAGAGACCTTGCTATTTTCTAAATAAGGCAGGCTGTTCTCTTTCAGCCACTGCACAGCTTCACATACGCACAGTTCACCTGAATCCAAAGAGCTGATGTGAGAAGTGAGAAGAGTGTTGAGCTGCAACTGTTGCTGTCTGTGCAGGGCATCTGATCTTGCAAAAAGCTGAGGAGCCACATGGGGATACATATGAGGCAACTGTACCTGCAATTCCACTTTTACCTTAAAAACAGAGCACAAAAACACAAAAAGAAAATGAATTCCACAGCTAAGAGAGACACGCTAGATTCCTTTCCCTGCCACAGGCAGATTATGAGGAGATGTAATTGAGATTGCAGTATCCTAAAAACTGGAATTACTACTTATGTCTTCCTTTTGTCCCCATAACCTATTCTTTCCTCTGGTCCTTCTGTTGTATCTCACTTTCCCAGCGTATCAAATGTTATCACAGCTGCTCTCTTCTGCCATCTACAGAAATGGTGCTATGGCTTGAAAGAAGGTACACAGGTGCTACTTACGGGACACCCCTATTTCCACTGCACGTTTTGAGTATGTGCTCAGTTTTGTTATAGTGACAAAATACAAGGCCCTCAGAGGAAAGTGGCTTGGAGAATCTTTCCCTTTACCGAACATGCATCTGAACAATGAATTCAGTCAAGGTGCTGAATGTATTCCCAGAAAATAGAGCTACATGAAGATTGCTTATGATTATACACACTATGCATAGAGGTATTATTACTATTTTAAGCAAATACTCACCCTAGGAGATGAAGCATTCTCTTCATTACAGACAATAAAAAGGATTAGGTACATGTTAGGCTGTGGAAACCTTGAGATTATCCTGCCTGATCTCTACCAACTGCAGGCAGTTGAATTTCCCTTGGTTATTCCTACAGTGTTGTAAGATACCGTAGCACTTCAGTTCTCTGGAAACCAAATTCTGCCTATAGGCAGAGAGCAGGAAAGGATTCAGAAGTCCTCAGTGCTCAATGCTCCACCCCTGGAGGTGTTCAAGAGGAGGTTGGATGGGGCCATCTGGTCTAGTATTAAATGTGGAGGTTGGGGGCCCTGCCTGTGGCAGAGGTGGAAGCTTGATGATCCGTGGGGTCCCTTCCAACCCAGGCCATTCTATGATTCTATGATTCTATGAAATGGTTAAAAACAAGATCACAGACTCATGGAGGTTGGAAGGGACCTCTGAAGATGGTCCAGTCCAACTCCCTGCTTACAGGAGGTTGCACAGGAGAGCATCCAGGCGGGTTTTGATTACCTACAGAGAAGACTCTACAATTTCTCCGGGCAGGGCGCAGTTTTATCACTCAGCTTTTGAAACAGCAAACTTTCTCCCACTCCCCCCTTTAGGGCAGACGTTCAGCACCTGCACCACGAGTAAGGCAGGCGCAGGGACCCGCCCAGGGGCAGCTCTCACCTCCGGCTCCCCGACACCGACGGCGACCGAGTACTCGAGCCGCGGGGGCAGGGATCCGCCGCCGTCCCTCAGGTAGCGCTGCAGGGCGGGCACGGCAGCCCCGTCCAGGCTGATCTCCCCTTTTTTGGGGAACATGGAAAGGAGCATTTCCAGCTCCAGCAGCTGGAGCTCCAGGCACTCCTGCACAGCGGCAGCCATGGCACCGCGCTGATACGTGACAGCCGGGGGTGGGAACCTGAAATCTGCGTGACGTGTGCGAGGCCGTGCCAGACCTCAGCGGCGTCGCTGCTGTTAAAGGAAAATCTGCCTTGCTCGAGAAGGCGGCCAACAGCTCCGCATTTCCCCTCTGCTTTCTGTAGCCTGGCGGGGCGTTATGAAAACCCGGGAAGACACAGGGAACCGGTGAGTAACTGCCAGAAACCACAGCACTGCTTTGGCTTCCATTTCGTGTCCACGCGTATCAGCGCGGTGCCTGACACGCGTCACGCTTTCATTCACACGGGTAAAACGGCATCGTCAGCTCAGCGAGGAGATACCGTACCGTTTATAACACGGCATTCTCGTTTAAAGGGCTGATCCCATCCACCCTCAGTGCCGAGCATTGGGTTTTTCCATCGGAACGGCGGAGGGCAGGGCTCAGCAGCCTCGTAACACTCTACCAAGCTGCGGGACGTTGCCGCAGCACCGCTGCCGGCTCCGCCCTCTGCCCTACGGCTTCACCCCGCGGACTGATCCGACTGCCGCGTGGCGGCTACTTGCCCCGCCCACCGCGCTGCCATTGGATGGCTCCTCGGAGGGGGCGTGGCCTCGCCGGACCCGGAAGGAGAGCGCGGAGGTGGCGGGTGGGCGGCCGGGTGAGGTGGTGTGCGGCTGCGTTCCTTTGGAACACGGCGGCAGCGTGGCGGTGCGCAGGGGGCGGGTGGTGCGTGGTTTGCAGCGGGAGGCGGGCTGGTTACGGTCTGGATGGTGAACGAATGGAGTTGTGTGGCTGTGTGAAGCGTGTGACTCGCGTTAGCTCTTCGCGGGAGCGTTGTTGGGAGCCCTGGAGGGGACACGAATGATAATGCGAGATCTGCTCACCCGGACCACTCCGGCTCTTCGTGATCTAGTCGAGCTCTGTTGGGGTAGTGTTGTACTGGGAATGTAGAGGCTCCGGTAGTTGTCCTCCCCGCAGCCCCACACAGGGGTGTGTGGGGTACAAGCAGAGCTATAGAGGCATAGAATGGCTTAGATGGAAGGTCATTGAGTTCTGCCTACTGCCATGGATGGGGCTGCTTCCCACCAGCTCAGCTGCACTGGGCCCATCCAACCTGGTCTGGAGCACCTCCAGCATCTTGTTGGCCCCAGTTTGAGATAGGATTCAAACTCAAATGAAGTACAAGATGTGAAACAAATTTGGATGACTCTGTTTCTCTTACAAGCGCTTGTGTTACTTCTTTCTCCAGAAATGGATGTTGAAGGACTTAAAAAATACTCGGCTTTGCATCCCAAGCCCGCTGGACTTACTCTTCAGTATGGCACCGCTGGATTTCGCAGCAAGGCGCAGCAGCTCGAGCACATCATGTTCCGCATGGGCATGCTGGCAGCACTCAGGTCCAGGGCCACAGGAGCTACTATTGGTGTCATGGTTACAGCATCTCACAATCCTGAAGTAATAGCAGCCTTTTGTTTGAAGAAAAAATCGATGTGGCTTGGTGGAATCAAAGCTCATCGTAATAACGGGAGCAAGAGGTTTCCATGAGCTGCATCCTGCAGGCACCTCCATCTACTTAAGAGATGTGTTTATAGTGTTTCATGTGAACTCTGGCACGTTCGGAGTTACCTTTCCACATGCATAGGGTGGTCGTTTCCTCTCATGTGGAAAAGTCAATGCTGTGATGTAGGATGTTTGTAAGATGGGCAAGGCTAGGAGTGCCCATCAAGAGATGAGCCTTTGAGCAAAATCTGCCAGTAGAAAAAACGAAGCAGTTACAAATCAAGCACTTCAGACTTCTGCTGCTGTGGAGTATTCCCTAGTATTGGCATTTTCCCTTCGGTCACTTTAATGTCAGATGAACTTCATGCCAAGATTACAATGGGGCGGTGTGGGGGGTGGGGAAATAAATGACTTGATACACTGCTTACTTTAGTTATTTGGGCTTGCTGGAGGCTGGAATAAATAGCTGATCTATGATTTCCTAAAAATATGCCATGTTGACAGAGCTAGTATGGTTAAACCTTACCTTAACTGCCTTCAATTTTAAGTTTCCCACTCTTAAGCTGAGTGTGTTTTGTTCTCTTTTCTTCTAAGGAAGATAATGGTGTGAAGTTGGTTGATCCTCTTGGTGAAATGCTGCACCCATCCTGGGAAGAATACGCTACGCAGCTAGCAAATGCAGAGGACCAAGAATTACAGAAAATAGTAACTGAGATCTGCCAAAAAGCAGCAGTGAACCAGCAAAAAGATGCTTCAGTTTTTATTGGTAGAGATACCAGGTAATTAGAAAACACTGTTAGATGTGTGCTCCCTTTAGCAGAAGTGGCAGCAGTTTGTTCATGAGTGCTACTGAGTGCTTAACTCTCTATAGCCAGGTTTGCTACCCATGCCCAGTCTGTTACCTGGTGAAGTCACTTAAGACTATAGCAATCCACAGCCATTTTCTAATGTTATTCCATTATGAGCTTCTCTGATAATTATGAGAGCTTCCTAGCACTTCTGATCAGGATGTCTTATTGTTCTTTTTTGTGAGCACTGTGTCACATCCATGACACAAAAGTTCATCAGAAGTTCACTCATCTTCACAATTCTTTAGGGTGGTGACTTTCAGGCTTCTTTATTGTTGGCCCCTTCAATTGGGAAAGGCGTGGATGTTGAATCAAAGTCTGCTGGCAGGAAACTTGCTTTTCATAGTCATCTTCCCCATGCTCCTTTTTTCCAAACCCACATATAAAGGTTTTCTGTAAAGGGCTTTTTATTTTCCAGACCAAGCAGCAAGGAACTTTCACAGGCAGTAATAGATGGCATCTCCATTCTGGGTGGTCAGTACTATGGTAGGTCAAGCTTTTGCTATTCTAGTTTATTATCAAGGTTTTTTTGTAAATGTGACTCTGTTATATGGCCTTAAAGCAGTAGCCCAGGTTCCATTTTCCATTTGTCTGTAATAGTTGGATTGCTTTATGGTAAAGGGGTTCATATTTTTTTAACAGAGCTTAATTTTCTTTCTGTTTCCTGCACTGCCTTTGTCTGTTTAATGTAGAATAGCAGATATATTTTGTATAATATACTTTGAAGAAGAAGTTAATTTAGTGTTCAATTTCTTAATATTGAAGGCTTTGTTTTCTGTTAGATTATGGTCTAGTGACCACACCACAGCTGCATTATGTGGTCTGCTGCCAAAACACCCAGGGGCAGTATGGGAAACCAACGCTGGAAGGTTATTACCAAAAGTTATCCAAGGCCTTTACGGAGCTGATAAAAAAGGTAAGTATTGGTAATTATCTTCTTCCTGCAAATGTACAGAGTGGGTATCTTTTGCTGTTATTTTGTTTGGGTCTGAAGTTTTAAATTCAGCATATCTACAGGTGGGGTGGCGGAGCCTATGGCTTCACTCAGGTGTGAGTTCACTTTGCCCTTTCTTTCTGTGTACAAAGTCTCTCAGCTCTGGAGAGGCTCAGCGGCAATTGAAGATTGATTGTGCCAATGGCATAGGAGCTTTGAAACTGGCAGAGATGGAGACCTATTTTCCAAAGGAGGTACAAATTCAGGTATATAATGATGGAACGAAGGAGAAGCTCAACCACCTATGTGGGGCAGATTTTGTAAAGGTTCATCAAAAACCACCTAAAGGTACGCAGTCAGTCATTTTATATCCTTTTACATCCTCTCTAGATCTAAACATGCAGGTTGTAGCAGTGGTGTATCAGCCTCGGATGAGCTGAGTTCCCTTGTTTCTTACTAAGTGAGTGATTGTAAGACTGGTTGTGCTTGTGTGATGGAAAGAAAGAATCCTAGGATGGGTTTTGACGCAATCTTAGATTATTATTCTAAAGTGTTTGGTGGACTACAGCATGTTTCAGCACATCAGAGACATGTTTGACAAACTGATACGAATGTTAAGCTGATGGAGCCCACGGGTCAGCCATGACTAGCTTTGTTTTCACAGAATCACAGAATTGCCAGGGTTGGAAGGGACCTCAAGGATCATGAATCTCCAACCCCCCTGCCACATGCAGGGCCACCAACCATCCCACCTAATGCTAGACCAGGCTGCCCAGGGCCCCATCCAATCTGGCCTCTAGGGACGGGGCATCCACAGCCTCTCTGGGCAGCCTGTTCCAGTACCTCACCACTCTCTCTGTAAAGAACTTCCCCCTGACCTCCAACCTAAATCTCCCTTCCCTCAGCTTAAAACCAAGCTTTTACCTCCCTTTACATTAACAAGAAGTATTTACGTTGTGGCCTAGCATTACAAATCCTTTTCCATGTTCCCAAGGAAGAGCATAATTAACACTTTGGTGCCAGCAAACTGACAGCTTGACATACACCACAGAGGTAGTTATTTCAACCAAATTCCTGCAGAGTGCTTAAAAGAAAATCCCCAAACTGGGAGAATGAACTGATTTGAATATTAGATTATTTGAGGCTAAACTGAGCTGTCTGTTCAACAACTGCTTCCTGACTGAAGCTGTCAGCCAAACCTGAACATCAAGGTATGGTAGCATTTCCTCTTTGTCATGCTGCTTGCGGGGACAAGTTTTGGGGTATGGTTTCCTATGCTCTGAAGGATAGAAGGTGTCAGCAGCATGGGCTAGTTTCCCTGTCCACCTGTGTGCTAAACTGTGTCCCTCCATGAAGGGGGATAAAGGATGCAATGTCCTTTGAGGCTCTGCCAAGTTCCCAAATATCTCCAAATGAGCCTAGGAATGGCCAGCTGCTGTTTCTGACATACGAACTCCATGGTTAATGGCAAGGTCAGCATTTTGGACAAGAGAAAGATTTGCATTGATAAAATGGCAGTTTGTTTTACTGAGGCATTGCTCTGTCAGGTGACAACTGCTTTCCAGCTAATTCTGTCTTGGCATTAAGCCTAGAAATGTTTTGAGGCAGGAACTCCTCATTTGTTTTATACACTGTACACACTTAGTGTACACACACTTAGCAAATGCAATGGCAGTTTGGTGCATCTGTTTTGCGTGTCTGCAAAGAGCTAATTTTGTTTCTTTAT